AAGCTTTGCCCTTTATTCCTACCCACAGGACCAGTAACAATCTATAAAAAAAAAAGAGAGAGACTCCCCCTGCATTCTTGTAACTATGCGTCGACAAACAGGGTGGGTAGTATGCTGCCATGGACAGGCACCAGGAAAGGAAAATTACTGGCACGTATGATACAATTTTACGTTTTCCTGTTGCCTTTCATGGCAGCATACAAACGATAAATAACAAGCGGACAGGGTGGGCAAAAGCGACGCCAAAGAAGACAACTCCATTCAGCAAAAGACGCCTGGACAGACCGTCTCCCAGAGTCCACTGCTGGCAGAAGGTTGCCACAGCTCACGTTGAATGGGCCCACACCACATCCGATGGCCGCCCACACAGCAGCCAAAAAGCTCTCTTTTAGTCTGTACTCACCCGTTCGGTGGTCCCCTACCTTAAAGTGGATGGCCGTTCTTGCAATCGTGGTGAACACCTCATGCCGAAGGAAGGAAGCAAACTATCAGGCAGGGAACTGCAGGGAAGGCTGCACACATCAGCAGGACAAACTCCAGAAATACGTGGCAGCAAAAGACAAGAGCCAGGCCCAGTGTGATCATATGTCAACCTGCCTTCTCTGATAGATCTCAACTGCGGATACACAGGTCAGTGCTATGTGCAGGTAATGTGGTATGTGCAGGTAATGGGTTTGAGTCCTGTATTACATCATACAGCCAAACAATAAAGTCACCGAGGAAATGCGTGCAACGCAAGTAATGGTTTGGAGACCTGTATTACATCATACAGGAGTACAATACAGTCACTGCGGCAATGATGATGCGTTAAACGCAGGTAAGGATTTGAGACATGTATTACATCACACAGCCAAACAATAAAGTCACTGAGGAAATGCGTGCAATGCAAGTAATGGTTTGGAGATCTGTATTACATCATGTAGGAGTACAGTCACAGTGGCAATGATGATGCCTAGAACGCAGGTAAGGATATGAGACCTGCATGCCATCATACAGGAGCACACTGTAGTCACTCACAGAATAAAAGTCTTGAAAACATAATTAAATAGTAGTACTTGCGGTCAGTAGATTCGTCCCAGACTAGTTGTAAGAATACTTGTGCACAGACTCAGCTGCAGGAAGTCCGTTCAGAGTTGTATCTGGAGGTAAAGCATTATACATTGCAAGGGAGGATCAGGTGAGTATATATTTGTTTTTGACCCTAGGCAAAAAGGAGAACTTAACCCTTGCAGTGCGGGGGTATTTATTCCTACCCACAGGACCAGTAACAATCTATAAAAAAAAAAGAGAGAGACTCCCCCTGCATTCTTGTAACTATGCGTCGACAAACAGGGTGGGTAGTATGCTGCCATGGACAGGCACCAGGAAAGGAAAATTACTGGCACGTATGATACAATTTTACGTTTTCCTGTTGCCTTTCATGGCAGCATACAAACGATAAATAACAAGCGGACAGGGTGGGCAAAAGCGACGCCAAAGAAGACAACTCCATTCAGCAAAAGACGCCTGGACAGACCGTCTCCCAGAGTCCACTGCTGGCAGAAGGTTGCCACAGCTCACGTTGAATGGGCCCACACCACATCCGATGGCCGCCCACACAGCAGCCAAAAAGCTCTCTTTTAGTCTGTACTCACCCGTTCGGTGGTCCCCTACCTTAAAGTGGATGGCCGTTCTTGCAATCGTGGTGAACACCTCATGCCGAAGGAAGGAAGCAAACTATCAGGCAGGGAACTGCAGGGAAGGCTGCACACATCAGCAGGACAAACTCCAGAAATACGTGGCAGCAAAAGACAAGAGCCAGGCCCAGTGTGATCATATGTCAACCTGCCTTCTCTGATAGATCTCAACTGCGGATACACAGGTCAGTGCTATGTGCAGGTAATGTGGTATGTGCAGGTAATGGGTTTGAGTCCTGTATTACATCATACAGCCAAA